CAGTCTATAATTATGAAGTTATTGTAACACAAACATTAGTTTTTATCATTTTCCTCCTCCCTTCTTGTATTCTTTGGTTTGGTGCCTGCAATAAAGATGACACTTATGTAATAATAGTACTATTGTAAAAATTATTTTAGTGCGTTTCGATTCTGTAGTGTTTGGTATGAGTAGTAATCAATTCAAACCTGTTATGAAAACATGTTATGAAAATGAGTCTCTAGGAACTAATCTGTGGAATATTTTGGCTTGTATTGGAGTGATGCAACTAAAAAACGATCTAAGTCCAAACAGCAGTTTTTTTCTTACAGTATCAATATCAAACATAAAAACCAATATATATATATATATATATATATATATATATATATATATATATATATATATATATATATATATATATATATATATATATATATATATATATATATATATATATATATATATATATATTGATATATAATGTATACTGTTGGAAATGCAACTCTTGACTGTTTAAGTGTAATCAATATCTTTTTTAAATTAAGCAAAAGCTTTTCAGTAAAAATGTTGTAACCAAAATTGGACAACTTTTCTTAAACTTAATTAACTCACATTTTCCATTACATCATGAGCTCCATAAAATTTTTAACAGAAATACAATAAAAGTTAGGTACAGCTGCATGCCAAATTAAAACTCCATTATTAATTCACACAAGCAACAAACTTTGCGCAACACAATCACCACTAATGATAAAAATTGAAACTGCATTAAGAAAACTACATGCACATTAAATAATCAATGTCTATCAAAAAATATTATATATAAAACCACTTTAACATCACTTAATCCCAGACTTTAATGCAATCAAGAAATGACACAAAACTTTCCAAAGCGTGTAAATTATAGAGTGGAAATTATGACTTTTTTATTACTCTGCCTTAATAATAATTGTCTTGAATATTTGTCAGATCAGGTTATCCTGCTACTGACATGGTAACATGTAACCCAGTACAATCTGCTTCATGTCCTGCTGCCTTGTAGGATACACCTTTTCAAGCGAAGGCTAGGAGATGCATAAACACTCCCCCCCCCACCTTGGGGCCCTTGGTTGAGTAAAGGCTAGAGATAATGTCTTGTAAAAATACTTATCTTGGGCAGATGTTAAATGCATCCGGCTGCTGTCTTGTAGAAGACCTCCAAGGCTAAGACTTAAAGGGGTAAACAGATTCTATTGTTGACCAGCCTTGCACCACTTTTTCTTCTTTTAGGCTGGCGCAGATGTATTTTTTATACATGTTGAATGCTAGATCTTCTTGACTCGATACATGGGTTTTGCTTACGTCTCTGTTTTTATGACTAGGCAACTCTACAATGAGGGTATAGCTCTAAAACTTAGTTTTATGGTTCTGAGGCCGGCTGGTAGTCAGGTTTCCTGAAATCTGTGGTAGCTCTCAGAGAGGATGATTCCATCAACAGCTAAAAAATATCAAAGTATTAACAATGCCATGTTGCGCATAGATGGTATTCCTGTTTGTACTTTTGGTGTGCTTTGCCAAGGCCACATTGGAGCCCTTTGTTACGGCTTAAGGTTTATTAATAGTAATCAGGCAATTTTTTGGGCTATTAATCAATGTACTGAGTACTATTTATGCTTCGAGTCAAGTTATTGACTCAAGGCATAAATAAAAAAAAATGTGCTTCTTACATAATTTCGTGGATTCAGGCTGGCATGGTATCCTTTATTCCTATTTATCTAATGCACGATAGGTTTTATTGTGCATTAGATAAAAGGGGAAGAGGTTAAGGCCATTGCTCTTGAGATTTCTAAAGCATTTGATAAAGTTTGGATATATATTCATATATTTTGTAAAGAAGACATATTTTACATAAAAATTTACAAATTTTTTTTTTTTTACTAGTCATTATTTTTATTTTATTTTAGCAAAGTGAATCAATATCATTTTTTTGGGGGTTTTTCTCTGGATTGTTTTTGGTTTTAATTGCTGTTGTAGCAGTTGCAGGTTTTTTTTAAATTTGTGTTAACTAGTTAACTTTTGTAATAATAAAAGTGTTGTACACTCAAAACAGTCAACATTTGAGTGTTGTACACTCAAAAACAGTCAACATTGGAGTGTTGTACACTCAAAAACAGTCAACAATGGAGTGTTGTAAACTCAAAAACAGTCAACATTTGAGTGTTGTACACTCAAAAGCAGTCATCATTGGAGTGTTGTACACTCAAAAAAGGAGGTTTTTTACTATACATAATAGATGAATTTTTTTCCGGGAATTCCAGGAAAATCCATAAATTCAATTTTCCAGAAATTTCCGGATGTATTTTGTTATTAATTTGAAAAAAAAAATTACATATTTTTAGATAAAATTTTAAATATGACAACTTTTGCATTTAAACAACTGTTTTCTACAATTAAAATTTTACAAGATCTATTTTCGCAACAATTTTTTTACTTTTTTTTTTTTCCTTTTAGTTCATTCAAATTAATTTTTTCGAATATTAGAAATTCCTTATTGTAAAAAGTTAAATATTCTAAATTCTTTTTTAAAAATTTACAAAAGTTTTTGCTGTCTGTTACAGGGTTATTCATTTTTATATGTGTGTCGATTCAATTTTTATATGCGTTTTTATTCATTCTCATAACACTCTTCTTCACATCCTGTAACTTCAGGGGTTCCGCAAGGTTCAATCCTTGGCCCTATACTCTTTTTAATTTACATTAACGATCTTCCAGATATTCTCACATCTAAGGTGGCATTATTCGCTGACAACACTACCATTTACTCTTGTCATGATAAGAAGCCTACACTCTCTGATTGCTTGGAGGGGGTATCTGAGCTTGAAAAGGATCTCACTTCTGCTACAGCATGGGGCTCACAGTGGCTGGTGAACTTTAATTCAGATAAAACCCAATTTTATTCGGCCAATCGTTATCGTAACAATTTAGATCTTCCTATATTTATGAATGGTAATGTACTAGATGAGTCATCTACCATTCATCTTCTAGGATTAACTCTTACTTCTGATCTTTCTTTTAAACCGTATATCAAATCCATTGCAAAATTAGCATCTGCTAAGGTTGCATCTCTTTATCGAGCTCGACACTTTCTTACTCCAGATTCTATTCTCTATCTCTATAAATCTCAAATCCGTCCCTGTATGGAATACTGTTGCCACATCTGGGGCGGATCTTCTAATGATGCTCTTTCTCTTTTAGACAAGGTGCAAAAACGAATTGTAAACATAGTTGGACCTGCTCTGGCAGCCAATCTCCAACCTTTGTCACATCGTCGTAATGTTGCTTCTCTTTCTCTTTTCTACAAATACTATAATGGGCACTGCTCTAAAGAGCTAGCATCCCTTGTGCCATCTACTAAAATTCATTCTCGTGTTACTCGCCATTCAATAAAGTCTCATCCTTTCTCTGTGACTGTTCCTAAGTGCTTCAAAAACTCTTATTCTTCTAGTTTTTTTCCTCGAACATCAGTTCTTTGGAATTTGCTTCCTTCATCTTGCTTTCCTGATTCATATAATTTGCAATCTTTTAAGTCATCAGTCAATCGTTATCTTGCTCTACAGATTTAGTCTTTTCTCTTCCAGTAACTTCCAACTTTTATAGTGGTTGCTTGCAGCCTTGTTGGAAGTGAAGATGTTAAAAAAAAAAAAAAGTATGGAGTACTGTTGCCATATCTGGGGCGGATCATCTAATGATGCCCTTTCTTTTTTAGACAAGGTGCAAAAGCACATTGTAAACATAGTTAGACCTGCTCTTGCAGCCAACCTTCAACCATTATCACATCGTCATAATGTTGCTTCTCTTTCTCTTTTCTACAAATACTATAATTGGCACTGCTCTAAAGAGCTAGCGACTGTTGCTAAATGCATGAAAAACTCTTATTCCTCAAGTTTTTTTCCTCGAACGTCCGTTCTTTGGAATTCGCTTCCTTCATCTTGCTTTCCTGATTCATATAATTTGCAATCTTTTAAGTCGCCTGTCAATCATTATCTAGCCCTACAACCTTCATCTTTTCTCTTCCAGTAACTTCCATTTCTAATTAGTGGTTGCTTGCAGCCTTGTTGGAAGCAAAGATGTTTAAAAAAAAAAAAAGAAATCTGGAAATATAAAGATAAATTGTTTTTTTCTAATAAACGTTAACGTTCCTTTCCTTATTTATTGACGAATGTCTATTTAAAAAGTGTCAAATAAAAAGGCCAACAACGATTTTTTTCCCTTATAAAATTGACATTCAAAATTTTTCAATAAACGTTGTAATGTTTTTGGGTTTATGTTTGTTAAAAAACATCAAGAGTTGTAATGTTTTATCATGTTTTGAATTATGGTTAATTACAAGCTTATGGTTAAAAAAAATAAATCCAATTTATAAAAAATGATTATACAGCAAACGCAGCGCAAGCTTTAGAAGCTAAAAACCCTGGATTTGAAGCAAGCTCTGAGCATGTTTTGCACCATCGGGTAGGGATGAGGTTTGAAATTTCTAGTTCAATACTTTTTTGAACACCTAAAACAAAAAACAAAAAAAACTTTATTAAACTTATAAAAGTTCTTAAAATATTTTTTTTTTAATTAAATGTGTTTTTAAAATCCAAATTCAACTTTCAGTTAAATTTGGTTTAGAAGTCCAAATTCGTCAGTTAAATTTGGGCTACATATACGGGTTAAATTTGTTTTTCAGTTGAATTCGGTATGCGCATATGATCTTTTTTTCATTAAAATTCAAGTCTTGAAAAGTTGACTTCGCCGGTCCCTAATACATACTATGAAACAGGTAATTTATTGCTAAAGTTAAAATATTTCAAAGTAAAGTTCTGTGAATTATAAACCTTTTTCGATCAAATAACACAGCGTAAATTTATATATTTAATACAGTGTAAAAAAATATATATATAAAGTGAAAATACTTTCAAGTTTAAACAAGTTTATTGTAAATGTTTTCTACTAGACAACTTGAAATGATAAAAAATTAAAAAAAAAAAAAATACCGAAATATTTGGCAATCAGCATGACCTCCCAGTTTTTCTAATTCTTTAACTATTACTTCATTACTTTCATAATTTGCTGTGCTCTAAGTAATATATAGTATTTTATAGAGATTTCAGAAATAATAATAGTTTTCAATAAAAAATCAATTACTTATATTTAAAATTATATTTACAATGAGCCCTTATCTCTTTATTCATCTATCCCTCTGCCAATATTAATGTTATTGGTGACTTTAATGCTCATTAACTGAATGACTTGGTTCCAGCACCACTGACCCTCCTGACACTAAATCTCATAACTTTTGTATGACTTATCTCTTAAATAATTTTGTGACTCATTTTCCAGACAAACCTAATCACTTACTTTCACTCCATATTGTCTTAAAATCTTCTCTCTGACCCAAGCAAGCTTCAGTTTCACCTTGTTCTCTTTTAGGTGGTTCGGACCACACAATTCCTTTTAAAAAATTTAAAAGGAATTGTGTGGTCAAACCACCTCAAACATTTCCCAATAATTTCTCATTTTCAATAATTTTTTTTCCTTTCTCAAGGATTCTCAAGAATCTTGAGAACAAAAAATATTTTTGTGCACGTTTAATAATAAGTACATTATAGATATTAATAAACTTGGTAAACATGTAAAGAAATAAATTAATAACAAAAAAAAAGCATTAAAATTAAATGCCTTATTCAAAAATAGTTGTTAAAAAATCGAAAAAATAATTTGAACTCCCCTGACTTATCATTAGGGGTGGTAAACAATTAACTATTAAAAACCATTAATCATTAATCGATTAATTAACAAACAATTAATCAATTAATTTTATTTTTAATATAACAACTTTGCGGTTTTTTTGTTCCAAAGATTTTTACGAACATTTACAAGCATTTTTTTAACGAACAAGACTTGCGTTGACTTTTATCCGCCATCCGGACAAATATAATTATAAACAAACAAAAACAATGCTTTTTCATAGTGCGGCTGCTTGACCACTATTTACAATGTCATTTAGAAAAAACCGCTCTGAAGTTTGGAAACATTTTTTATTGGAAAATAAAGACAAATCAACATACAAGTGCAAACATTGTTCAGTCGAACTTAAATTCTATTTATCAACTTTAATTTTTTTTCATCATTTAGAGCACAAAGATAAAAAAATTTTGATTAAAGTTCTTTCAGAGAAGTCTAAAAATATACAGCCAAGTATTGCTGCCTATTGTAAAAATATAGGTAGCAAAACTGAAGATGTATTAGCTCATTTAACTGCTGTTGATCGTATACCTTTTGCAACTTTGGCCAATAGCAAAGATATTAAAAATGGCTGGAAAGCTCAAGGACTTAAAATCCCTGATGATCAAAATGCTATAAAGACAATAGAAACAACTCAAGAAGAAATAATTAATGATGAGAATGAAAATGAAACATCTGATTCCGACCCTGATGATGAAAACGACACTGAAGAATGCTGGAATTAGGAAAGTATTAGCTTTGTTTCACAGGAAATCCAGTTTAATGAGGACTATGGCATTATTATATTGAAGGTTCGTAAAATAGTCAAACTTTTTAGAAAATCTCCACTTAAAAACGATTCCCTTCAAAATATTTGTAGAACAGATTTAGGAAAAGAACTCAAACCTATTTTGGATACTAAAACAAGATGGAATTCTCTAATAAGTATGTTAAAGCGATTCTTAAAGTTAAAAAATGTTTTTGCAAAGGCTCTTGTTGATATATCTAGAACAGATTTAATTTTAAAAGAAAAAGAAATAAAACACAGTTCTGATATTGTTCAGGCTCTACATGTTGTAGAGTTAAGTGTTATGCAACTAGGAAAAAGAGACTGTGATCTGATAAAATCTGATAAAATTATTTTGCTTTTACTACAAAATCTTAAAAAACAAAATACTAACATTTGTCAAAATTTATTTATTGTTGTCTAGGAGAGAATTTTCGAAAGAAGAAAATGTAATATTGCTGGTTTACTGTGCTTTTTATATAACCCAGCTGACTACAAATCAGACTCAGAATTTCCAGATAATCTTTTGAAATACCCACCTAAAAATAAAATTTCTAAAACTGCTAGAAAAATATATTTACGTTTATTTCTACAGGAGGAAGTAGAAGCAGCATATCAGTCTGAGTTAGAGTCTACTTGTAATACAGAACCATTAAGAAAAAAAACTAAAGCTGAAGAATTAGCAGAAATAATATCTAACACAACTTCAGCAGCAGGAAATACTAAAGGGTTAACTTGTAAGTCTTCCCCTCAAGAATTTTTGACTTACATTAAATGTGAAATTAAAATACTTGAAAGCACTGGAAACAGGCCAAGTTCTTTAGAAAAGATTTATAATGCCATGCTAAGTCTTCCCCGTCTTCTATAAAAGCAAAAAAAAGTTTTAGTGCAGCTAGTTTATTTGTCACTAATTTAAGAACTAGCTTAAATGATGACACTGTTAATTAAATCTGTTTTTTAAGATCATATCTGATAAAAAGAGAAATAAAATCATAAAAAATATAAATTACTTTTTGTTAAGTTAAAAACACATTTTTCCTAAAATTTATCGAAAATTAATTGATTAATCGATTAATTTTTCGAAATTTAATCGTTAATCGATTAATGTAAAATACCGATTAATCTACCACCCCTACTTATCATTATAAAATCTTATATACTCTACAGTTACAGTCATTAAAACATAAACATAATTTACAAATGTGACAAAACACTAACACACTTCTTCACTAGTCAACAAACACTCATTACATTAATTCACCATATATTAGTAACATATGTAACATAAGTATTAGTAACATATGTAACATAAGTTCCATTTTTATTCCTTTTTATTATTATTTCCCTCAATACTCCAATTTAGTGAATTTAAAAGCTATTTATAAGCACACTAACAACATAGAAAACAAGGTAAATTAAAGAGATTGCAGTTTAAAGTTAATGCTAGTGCGCCAACAAAAAATTTTAAATTTTCTCAAGAAATATCAAATAATTCCTTGAGAAATGAAAAAAATTAAAACATAAAATTTCTTGAGAAAATCTCGAGAATAAACACTACTTCCAACTCACCCTCTTATCATCACACTACTTACTACTATCATAAAACTGGGGTTTTATTTCAAAATTTTCTTCATAATGGTTTTTGCCAAACTTTTGCCTTTTTACTAATAATTGTGTCTTCTTCGCACTGGATTTAGAGATACGTATGGAACAGTGATCAACCGAAACAGATAAAAAGCCAAACCAAAATAAATTTAAATTTCAGGTACTCTAGTTCAGTGCCAAAACCCAAACCAACATTTTGGCAAATATTTTACTGAAACCAATACCAAGATTTTGGCTAATCAAAATAAATTTCATTAGAAAATTTTATTTAAAAAATGTAATTTTATATTTGTTATTTTTTTATATGTGTATTATGTTAGAATTGATTACACATGTTTGACAAATTGAGATATAATACATAAGTTGGCTTATTAACCCTATATGGTACACCAGGCCTTGTTTTAAAGCGTTACGCCTAGAGCGATTTACGTACGCCTTAAGCGCTTTTTACGTACGCGTAGAGCTGTTTTGGTTAAGCTACTTTTTATCATTTTTTAACTTTTAAATTAGCGGTAACATAAAAGAAGTAATTAATTTTCAAAAAAACCACATTAACTTTTAAATAACGTTATGTAAAGGTATTTATTAAAAAAAAGAATTTTCTTTAAAAATAATTATTGTAACTTTTCATTGCGATATATCTTTCCTTTTTATAGCAATTAATTGACGCTAAACTTTTTATCCAAATATTTAGCAACATGAAAAATTGTTTGTCAATCTTTAACTACAAATTTTTTGCAATGTTTTTAATAAAAAGTAGTAATTTTTTCTATATTACATATTTATTAATACAGAATATAAAAGTTTTTTGTAATAATAGATTTTTTATGAATTTTTTACTGAATTTATAATAAAAAACATTTGCAAAAAAATTTGTAATTAAGAATTTACATTTTTTTTTAATAAAATCTCAAAAAATGTCTTAATATTTTTGTTATCATGATAACAAAAATATCAAGACATTTTTTCGAGATGTTAAAAAAAATGTCTTTGCTTTTCTTATTAGTTTAATAGTATATAGCTTATAGTTAGTTTAATAGTATATAGCTTTTCTTATGAGTTTATTAGTATATAATTTAAGTTATGCGGGGGGAGGGGGGAGGCACAGAAAAAAAAAATTACCTGTTACTCGCAATATTTGAATGAAGACAATTTGTTAAAATTCTTCTGCGTGCGATTCAATAAGTTTTTTTTTTCATAAATCAAGTTATAATATAAGGTAAAGAAATCATGAGTAGACTACAACATCCGCTGATGGCACTAATATTACGTTGAATATATTTATATAACGGAGGTTTTATTATGCACGCGCACATTACAGGTTCCGTTAAATAAATACTAAGGCACGTTTTAGTTTAATGACAGTCTCCATTTTTTACTAATGATTATTTATTTTTCTTTATAAAACAAAACAAATTAGTATATAAAAACCTTGTATATTTCTATTATCTCTAAATTGTTTAAAGTTCGAATATGGATTGTATTTTGAAGGACAAAAGATTTACTTTAAAAACTTTTAAATCTTGGGACTTTGCCGATGCTTTGCCGATGCGATGATCACAGAAAAAGAGAAGACTTACGTTATTAAAATCAAATGTAAGTTATGTGATCTTCATCAAAATAAAATATTATCTAAAAACAATAGTGCCGTAAGGGCAACTGCCCAACGGTTTATAAATAATACAAGTCATGTTAAAATATTTTAACATGTTACTATATTTTAATTAAGTTGATATATAATTAAAAATAAAAATATAGTTCAATAAATAAATTAACGTTATTCTTAACAAAGATTACCTCATATTTATTCTTTTTTTTATTTTATTAAGTTAAATTGCTTTCAAACGAAAAAAAAAAGAGTTTTGTAATTATACGTAGAATGAAAATACTTTTGAGTTTGTTTATAAGTTAAAGAACTTAATTTTTAATAAACAAATTTTTACGAACGTTTATTATAAACAGATACGATTCAAATTATTAAATATACTTAAATTATTTCAGTTGAGTATTTTTTTAAGTTTGCACGATTAAAGTTTGGCGTAGAAGTATTTGTTTTTTTTTGTTTTAAGAATAATTAACAAAAGAGTTTGCATAGTTAAGACATTTATATTTAATTTAATTTTTTTTTTAATTTCCTAAAATTAAAAAAAAAAAAGATTTATTGTTGAAAACGATTTTTCTCTATAGCTCTGTTTCTTTGTGATTTGTTTAAAAAGTTAAATATTTTTACAATAACATAAAAAATTTATGAATTAAATTCCTAGCGAACGCGTTCTAAACTACGTATCAAAAATATGCACAAAGCAGACAAAACTTTTTTATATTTTTATAAAACGCAAGTTTGAACGCTTTTAAACGCTTTTGAACGCTTTTAAAAATTTAAAAAATATTTAAAAACTTAAATTTTTCTTTGTTAGTCGAAACAAAATCGTTGTTTAGTAATTAACATGGGTTTGCGTTTATCAATGTTAATATTTTTTGTTTACTCTAGAAATTATTAAAAATAAAAAAAATCATTATTATTTTTTATTCAATAACGATTAAAAATAATTATTCAAAAACAAATTTCAGAAATAATATATATATATATATATATATATATATATATATATATATATATATTTTACTAAATAATAATGAACTAAAATTAATAATAAAATAACTATTGAAAACATTACAAAATTTTCATAATAAATTTATATTTAAAACGTTTATAGTTTATATTTAAGTTAATTGTTAAATTGAACTAGTTTGCGGTTATTCATTTATTGAGGTAATTAAAACACTTAACGTCTATAAAAAAAAATAAAGATAACCTTATGACGCCAAATATCGCGTTAAGCTAATGCGTTGAGCACTTTTTTATTTAAAACAAGGCCTGTACACATTAAGAAAAAAACAACTAAAAAATGTTTCCTTCAGTATTTACATCTTATATTGGATATAAATTAATGTAATAAATTTTGTTTTTGTTTAAAATTTCAAATTAATGCTTTTGTAGCTATGTTGCCAATTGGCAACAATGCGCAACTTAGGGTAAAATTGTTTTAGTGTTGCCATATGGCAACAAACCTATTGGACAGACAAACAAATAGAAACTAGTAAACACAATGCATAAACAAACAAATGGTAGACAAAATGCACAATCAAACAAATGATTGACACAATGAATAAACAAATTATTTGCAGAAAGATATTTTAATTGCAGAAAGATATATTAATTCATATCAAAATTTAATATTAAAGAGGAAAACAACAGGAAAATATGAATGAGGCTACATGTTATTTTCATGGCTGATGAAAACTTTTGTAGCAATTTGATTTATGAGTGAGGCACAAATGGACATTACATTTCTCACATTTTGTTCGAGAAAAACCTTTGCAGCCAGGCAATTTACACCTGCCTTTTTCAGATACTTGTATTGGAAAATGTCCCACATTGTCTATACGGATTGAGAAGTTTGGAACAACAGCCGCAGGACCCTTTTGCTTTTTGCACTGCAGTTGGGGCTCAACTTCCAAAGAAGGTCAACCCCTATTCTTTGCCACTATAGTTTTATTCTGTCTTATTAAGCAAAGAGCAATGTTAATTTTGAATTGAAGCAGTGGCAATTTAGCTGATAGTGGTAGACCTGATTTAGAAAAATCAAAAGCATACAGAAGCCACCCTTGAACTACAGCCAAATCGAAGATATGAAAAGTGATTTGGTGGTACCACTTTTTGGATCTGATGTGGTTTCTATATAATGCCACCAGGGAATCCAACAGGTCCACACCACCCATAAAGGCGTTGTACGGAATAATGATGGAAGGGCAGTCCACCTCAATATCCTTCTTCTCTTTCTTGTCCCATTTTCTGACCTTTTTTACTGGCTCTACTGCAGCAAAGGTACTAAGAAGAGTCACAGCTTTGTTGTCCATCCACCTGACAGCATTCAGCTGCACACCATTAAAAACTCCGGTTTTCAGTACAACTGAACCTCTTCTTTTTTTTGAAAGCTCTTTGTCTGGAGGAAATGTGCAGCCTTTTAAACGATTGGGACGGACAGTTCCCACGCTCGCTATTCCTTCTTTCCATAATAGTACTTGGAGGGGAATAGAAGTGAACCAATTATCGAAAAATACCTGATGCCAGCAATGTCTACGAACATCTTGCTTAAATTTAAGAATTATATTGCCTGATGCACCCAGATCAGGTTTTCCAGAGCAAAGTTGAATTTGGCCAACATAGAACTCAAAATTGTGAATGAGGCCAGTGCTACCCGAGCACACAAAAACTTTGTATCCCCACTTCTTTGGCTTTTTAGGATTATATTGTTTAAGTGATGATTTTCCTTTGAAAGGTATTATTTGTTCATCAATGCTCATCATTTTTGATTTTTGAATGCTGTTGAAGCTGGCCTTGAAAACATCTAAAAGCGGTTTGACTTTATGGAGTTTATCTCCATTGTTGTTTTCATTATTTGAAAAATGCAAAAACCTTTTGATTTCTTTAAATCGTTTTTGGCTCATAGTGTTAGCCACACGATGAACTCTTGTATCAGGGCTCCAGTACAATCTGGAGCGTGGTAGGCAATCTACACTCATATAAAAGATAATCCCTAGAAACTGTTCTAGCTCGTCCATTGTAATATTGGCAGGTTTATTAATGTCCTGCTGTAAGTTGTACTGGTTAGATTCTGTGACGATATTCTCAAAGGTTCCTTTGGTAAATATTTCCCTGAAGTATTCAATTGGCTCACGCAAGAGCCCAGGTTCTCTCTCTGTCCCAATGAAATTTGGTATATCTGAGGACCGATCAGCATGATCAGTTCTTTCTCGCCAAATGAAGCCTTGCGCTGTTGGCTAATGGTTGGCTGCTGGCTGGAGCATCCTCTTTGGCATCACCATCATCTACAAAAATGTAAATTCATAAAACATTTGAAAATGCTACCCAAAAAATAACAGTGTTGAGATTAGTGCTGCTTATATTATAGGCCTAAACACAAAATTTTATGGTAATTAGATGGGAAAATTAAATCTAACCATCAGAGTTTGAGCTATCAGAACTTGACAAGTTGTGATCCTCTTCAACTTTATCTTCCTCACAAGATAGCTCACTGTCCTCTGAATCCTCGGGTAATTCTCTGATGATAATGTTTTTCTTAGACTTTCCGTAGAACGTGACAGGATCTATTTTTATTCTATTATAATACCTATAAAAAAAAGTAATTTTTTTCTTTAAATTACATCTACAAGAAAAATATAAACAGATCAATAGGGATTCGGCTTAGGCTTGGTACTTAGAGTTGACATATTTTTACAATGTAGACCTAAGCTTTTACATGCCCCAACTTCTAACCTACTTTATTACTAAAAATTGACTAAATTGTATTTCTAATTAAATTTATTTTCAGAAACTTTGTGTCAAAGTTACCACATATCGTAAATTAAATTATATTCTGATAAAATAAATGATACAAAAATAAAAAATTAAAAGGACCCAATCAATAAGTCTATAAAAAGTTGAGGTGCTATATCTTCGAAAAAAGTACCCTCCTGTTGCGCATTGTTGCCTTTTGGCTACACAGAATTTAAACCGTATATTTCAAAATAATATGTATAAAAGTAGTGTATTATAACGTATAAATATATTTGAAGATATCATAACAATGATAATATTTTTTTGAATTCAAATTTTGATCAAATAAATATATAAAATATGTTTATAAACCGACTTTTTACAAATGATAGAAACAAGGCGCCGTTCTGCTGATTCGTGAAATACAACACGTTGCTTAAAAAATTTACGCAAAAAGTTGTGATGTCAAATGCAAGAAAAGATGATAATTAAAGGGAAATCATTAAAGAATTAATGATATAACAAAACAATAGTAGTTGTCTGTTCATTACTAGTGCATTGCCATTTGGCTACACTGTACCATATAGGGTTAATAAATACACTTATGAACTACACTATGACTTATAAATACACTTTCTTAAATAAAAAAAAAAAGATTTATTTTAACTATTTTATATAAACGTTTCAGTCAAAATATTATGCGCACTGTAACGACTGATTAATTTGCGGTTTTGATACTTGAATAGAAATGCGCTATTTAGTAACTAAAAAGTTAAGTAATTTGTAAACAATTGGCTTAAAATTTAGAAATAGTAAAATATTTTGTGAAATTTCTCTAAGAAATCACTATTTTTCTAAATTAGATAAAAATTAGAAATATTACAAATTTTTCAGTTTTTGGTATGTTTTTAAACCAAAATTTTGCACTTTACCAAATTTATAAAAAGTACCTAAACCAAAATTTCAGTTTCAGTTCAAATTGAAATTTCGACTGAAACCGACACCAAAACAGAATTTCGAATGATTACTAGTATGGAAGCTTTTATTCCTTCTTGTTGATTTCAAGACAATCTTTTTTCTACACATTCATTTTTGTGCTAAGTTTATAAAAATTAAGTTTAAAAATAAACATTAACACTCCATAACATTACATAACACTCAATAAAATTACATAACACTCTATAACATTACATAACATTACATAACACTCTATAACATTACATAACACTCCATAACAAAAAAAACATTAAAAAAATGTATTGTCAAGGTGTGTTACAAAAATTTTGCAATTAGCAAAAAATTACTATTAACATTCTTAATACATTTCACACTTACATGAAAAGCAAGTTTTTCCAAAATATGAGAAACTCCACCTTCATAATCAATTTCATATCTAGATCCTGCATCAATAAGTGCTGTAAAAAAATAAATAAATAAATAAATTGTAATAATCATTGTTTTCATATATTTTATTATAATTTATTTTAAATTTGAAACAAAAAATTTACTGAAAAATAAAAAATTTTGTTGATTATGCAGTTGCACATATAGATTGGACAATTGAAGGTAAACTACAATCAAATCACAATTAAGATAAGTAGATATACTAAATATATACTTAGTAGACAATATATATATATATATATATATATATATATATATATATATATATATATATATATATATATATATATATATATATATATATATATATATATATATATATATATATATATATATATATATATATATTGTCTACTAAGTATATATTTTATAAACATCAATAAATACGATTTTCTCTCATTACTAAATTTATTTTTTAAAAGAAATTTTCGCTGGATTGTTGTGACCAGCATCTTCAGCTTAAAAGATTTTGTTTGTTTTTGTTTATATGTTATTTTTAAACGGCAATTTTATTATATGTCAATGGAATGGTTTCGTCTTTTTCTGACGTAAAGTGCATAAGAAATGGCGTCCAGAATTTTGTTGACACTTATTGTCCCTCATCTAAATTGATACCACTTTGTTGAGGGGCACATTGGTGGTACCATATTTCAAGCGCCTCACGAACTTTCCTATCAAACTTTTTGTTAATGACTTTTAGAGTACTGCAACTGTCCCAGTTAATTTGTTGTGCACAATGTTTCATGTGTGTGGCTAATGCTGATCTTTCTGTTTTATTTCTTATTGTACTGTTTTTGTGTTGTTGCATGCGTGTTTTTATTTGCATTTTTGTTTCACCAATATACCTTTTGTTACAATGGCACTTAATAAGGTAAACTCCTGGGTGGCTGTTCCTTTGTAGTTTAGATTTATTTCTTGAAGTCAATATTGCTTCTAGGTTTAAGTTTGATTTGAAGACTGTTTTATATCCTGCCTTCCTAAACACTTTACCCAATTTGGGAGACAATATTGGTACCCAAGGTAATGAAATTGTTGGATACGTACTGGTGATGTTGTCAATGTTTTTAGTAGTCACAAGAGGTTTTTTGTACTTTCGTTTTATTTCTTTTATGATTTTTATGAGATTGGAATATTTGTAACCATTTTCGACAAATACTTGAATAAGGAATTTCAGTTCATTTTCTATATGTTTCTGACTGCATACATTAAATGCTCTATGTACAAAACCCTTGAATATTCCATTTAAAATTTGTGGGTCATGGTTTGATGTTGCCTTAACTTGAATGTTAGTAATTGCATTTTTTCTGTGTATTTTAAATTCGTATTTGCCATTTTTGTTATTTATTATGCATGTCTAGAAAATTTAGTGTTTTTTTTGTCATTTTCAAATTCGATTGTATATTGTATTTTTGGATGCTGTTGGTTAAGTATTGTCTTGAATTGATTAGCCTGGGCAATGTTAGGGACTCTAGCATGGCTGTCATCTACGTATCTATAAAATGATTTTATGTCAATAATTGGGTAGGTTTTCAGCGCTATATTAAGCACTGAAAACCTACCTGATGAAAACAAAATCTCTTCCGTATCTTGACATTGTCTCAATAACTGAGTCATCTGCTCTAAAACTTGAGTACAACAAAAAAGATGAAGCTGCACAAACTCTGAGGAGAGAAGTTTTGAGAGAATTAAAACTAAATAAAAATAATAAAAATGACAACCTGACTCGTCAACAACGAAAAGCACTTACACAACTAAAAAAAGATAACAATAGTGATATATACCCATTTGATAAAGGAATAGGCTTTGTAACAATCCCTCATGATAAAGCAATAAAAAAGATTCCAGAACAAATTGGGCAATGAAAATCAAAGTCCAACTATCGAAATTAAATAAAAAAGGTCGGTTCACAAAAGATGAATATCAGCAAATTTATCCCAGTGACCCAATACCACCTCGTATGTATGGTGTAGTGAAAACACATAAACCTGAAAAATCTTATCCAATGCGAATTGTAGTATCTACAATAGACACACCAAACTACGGAATCTCAAATTACTTAGTAAAACTAATACAACCAATATTAAATGAAAACCCAACTCAATTAAAAAATTCTCAACAATTTGTAGAAAAAGCAAAATCATGGGACATATCCAGTGACGAAATTCAGATATCATTAGACTTTATAAACTTATACCCGTCAATTCCACTTAAAGAAGCAACTGATGTACTCAGAAGTATATTGGAAGTGAGCGATAATTTTAAAAAAATGACAAAATTAAATATAAAAGAAATTAAAACTCTGATAGAACTATATTTATATCGACCATACTTTTTATGGAACAATGAAATACATGAACTTGAAAATTCAGGTCCAATAGGTCTTTCTTTTACAGTACTTTTAGCTGAATCTTTTCTTAAAAATTTTGAAAAAAAAGCGCTTAATATAGCGCTGAAAACCTACCCAATTATTGACATAAAATCATTTTATAGATACGTAGATGACAGCCATGCTAGAGTCCCTAACATTGCCCAGGCTAATCAATTCAAGACAATACTTAACCAACAGCATCCAAAAATACAATATACAATCGAATTTGAAAATGACAAAAAAAACACTAAATTTTCTAGACATGCATAATAAATAACAAAAATGGCAAATACGAATTTAAAATACACAGAAAAAATGCAATTACTAACATTCAAGTTAAGGCAACATCAAACCATGACCCACAAATTTTAAATGGAATATTCAAGGGTTTTGTACATAGAGCATTTAATGTATGCAGTCAGAAACATATAGAAAATGAACTGAAATTCCTTATTCATGTATTTGTCGAAAATGGTTACAAACATTCCAATCTCATAAAAATCATAAAAGAAATAAAACGAAAGTACAAAAAACCTCTTGTGACTACTAAAAACATTGACAACATCACCAGTACGTATCCAACAATTTCATTACCTTGGGTACCAATATTGTCTCCCAAATTGGGTAAAGTGTTTAGGAAGGCAGGATATAAAACGGTCTTCAAATCAAACTTAAACCTAGAAGCAATATTGACTTCAAGAAATAAATCTAAACTACAAAGGAACAGCCACCCAGGAGTTTACCTTATTAAGTGCCATTGTAACAAAAAGTATATTGGTGAAACAAAAATGCAAATAAAAACACGCATGCAACATGGCTATTTCCACGATGAAAGAGATTTTTGATGAAAGAATTTTGTGTTTAAAAATTTCTTTTTTCAAAAAAATTTCTTCCTTTAACTGTAGTTTAAACACATTATAATTATTGTTAAAATAAATTTTGAGTAAAAAATATTTGAACTGAGTAGATAAATTTTATGAATTCTAGCAGGTGTTTTTGCTTTTTATTATTCGAAAAAGCGAGTAAAATGAACAAGTTATTGTAACATTCTAAACATTCAAAACATATCCATATTTTTGTTTAGAAAAAATCTTCGAGATTATATGTCTTACTCTTTAAAAATATTTCAAGTGTTTTTTTCTCACATACACATCTGCAAAAACCAGGTTGGATCACTGAACTAAAAGCTAAAAAAGTTTAATTATCACAATGAAATTAGGCTTTAAGGCAAGGTTATTTTAGAAATTCTATATTTTAATGTAAACTTTCCGTCACTATTAAAATAAAAAATTGGTCAAAAAACATTATATATGTATTAACTTATAGTTATAGTTTAAAAGCTGTTGCGTCACTGAACCCATCAACGGGATAATTAGCGTTTAATAAAATAGCGTGGTAAGAAAGTCAAAAATATCTTCTGAATGTTCAGATTTTGTTGTGCATTTTGGTCAAATAATTTTTGCATTTTAGTATTGTGAAGGCATATTAGAAGTTAGAAAAAAATGTTATGCTATCATGACTCTTGCAGTCTGGAACATTGAGTTAAAGACATTTGCCATAGTTTCTAATTCAACTGATCATACAAAGTCTTCAATTTCAGATTAAATGGGCATAAAATATATGCAGTTAACTCTATCCGAATCTTGGAATTAAAATAGACTCTAACTTATCTTTTCCATCTAATCAAGAAAATTCTCTAAGGGAGTCAAAACATTTTTAGCAAAGTTTTAATTACAAGTTTTTGCATAAATGCAAGGATGTTTAGATGGATCATGGCCACCCACAAGAATTTAAAAAATACAATACTTTTACCCATAAAAAAAGTTTATTTTTTACTGTCAAGGTGGTGGTTTGGTGCCCCCCTCTATCCATTGGATACGCAAGGCAGTTAGAATTCAATATAAATTTGTAGTCTACACTTCCATCATTCTTATAATACCAAGCTTTTTACATTTTGATAAAAATTGACGAAGTTATGACAATTTTAGTTAACAAAAACTTTATTTTGAACACAGTTTCTACAACAAACCTATATATCAAAAAATAAGTACTCAAACTATCATATCTTTTTAATAAATTGTTCAATTTTGAAAATATTTCACCTTTTCAACACTGTTGTTTAGAAACATCCCAAATGAGTCCTCCTCAACTGATGAGCGTTTGTATACAATAAGTGATGACATGTTATTTGCAGAGAGGGGAAATAAATTTTATTCACATTCCAGATATTATTACTTTGATTTTAAAGACTTTGGGAACCAGGTGCGATCGCACTTGATAACTGACCACGGAAATAATATTTAGTTGCGAAAAACCAGCTAGATTTTTTAGTCGTTTTGAGAACATTTCAAAAACAAACAAAAAAGCGCATTAAGATTAACTGGACTGACGAGAGACAGTTAAAAAAAGAAAAATAGCTTTTAACACGAAAAAACGTGAAGAGCAATTATTTTTGAACCATCGCTCTTTTATAACTTTTTTTATAAAATAAAGCGACATTTTTTATATAAAGTAACAACTATAAAGAAATAAATGTTCTTCGATTTATCAAAGAATATATACAATTTTTATTTATATACTTATGTCTTATTTCCAGTGCTGGATTGAGGAGGTGGGGTAGGAGTAGTAGGCTATAGCCCCGGG